GGGTTCAGAGTTGCTGGGGCGTTGCTAAACGCATTGCTTTGGGAGATCATTCCGAAACAATTTGAGAAGACTGTCTTCCAAATTCGACGAGACAGAACGCAGCAATTGTGTTTTGAATTGAGAGCTCGGTTTCCCGAGGGTCTTATAAGGACGTCCCCTCTCGACCTCTTGGCTTATGCGCCTCGTTGACCTGCACCTCTCCTTTCCGATATCTGCAGACTCCAACGCCAGCCCAATCATGTATATAAATAAACAAACAATCTTTATAGAATCAGGGAGTTCTCAGAGGCAAATAATGACTTGTACCCGAGTCGAAGTTTCTGAAATCTCTGTGGCATTTGCCGTCCACCTTTCCCACCTTCCCCACCTTGCCCCCAGCCCCAGGTCTCGGATATACGAATCGCAAAGTTGGTAGACCGACTCTGGCTTCCCTTATCCTTCGTCACCACTTACTTATTCTGTACAGTGATTGCATTCATTTTAAAGAGCTTACCAGGGATCTGAGCTTTCTTCTTACCGTTTCCATGGTTTCTTACGAAGAAATGCATTAGTGATCGGCGGCTGGTCAGCACAAGCGCGCCACAGGTGCTCGAGATTCGTGCCAAACTCAATACAAGAGATCGCCCATTTTTCTACTTTTATATGTGTTGAGACTCATGCTGGGTGTCTGTGCTATTTGAAGAAGACCTGGATCGTGTACAGTTGGGTGGGCATTCACATGATTTGCTAGTCATACCAAGGCAGCAGCGGTGTCGTTCTCGAGGCAACAGACCGCTTTGTTTATATCATCAATCGCTTTACTTCAATAATTTTCTCCGGCTAGATGGCTATATATATATGCAGCTATATTACCCGATGAATCCTCCTCTTGAACTTGACCTGAAGGAGAGCTTGTTTACAAGACACCCTCCTTGAGCAAGTATGTGACAGCTCCACTGCCGGGCTTGCTCACAACCACAGCACCCTCCTTCTGCTCTTCAGTGAGGTCACGCTTGGAGTAGTACTCTTTCTCCCACGCCTCCTTGACGGCGGCTACCCTGTCGGCAGGCACCATGTGGACAGTGCAACCACCCCAGCCAGCGCCAGTAAGTCTGCTTCCGTACGATCCGTTCTCGACAGCGATTCGGCAGAGCTCATCGATCTCAGGGGCACTGCACTCGTACAGGTCGCGGCACGAAACCTGCGTCTCGTTGAGGAGCTCGCCGAGACGCTTGTTGTACGCTGTCGTATCGGCGCTGTCGGTGGGAGCCTCCTTCTCGAGCACCTTCATGAACTGCAGCACGCGCAGGGCCTCCTCGAAGACGTGCAGGGCACGCTGGCGAAGCTTGAAGCGCTCCGCGCGGACAGACAGCTTGGACATGAAGATCTGCTCGAGCTCCTCCACAGACACACCCAGGACCTTGGCGATCTCCTCACGTGTGTAACCCTCCTCGCTGGTGAGCGTCTTGCGGGTGACGTCAATCAGCACGCGCAACTGGGCCTCGGCGGCCTCCTCTGTCGACGCACCCTCGGAGTGAGGCTGCTCGTGGTTGGCAAAGTAGGCGTCGTGGAATCCGTGGATGGAAATGCCCAGAGGAGAGGCGTCCTTGGGTAGCTTGGTGCCGGCGGGGTTGAGGGCTGCGTTGAGGAAGGCACCGGCCATGCTGCACTCGACGACGCGGAGGTTGTAGTGGATGGGCCCGGTGACCTGCTTGTTGGAGGTGACGAAGGACTGGGCGATGACGAAGGAGAGTTCCGGGTTGGTCTTGGGGAAGAAGACGTTACGGGCGGTCAGAGATGGGGTGAAGGAGACGAAGAGGGCGGATCCGCGCTGGGAAAAGACGGAGGCAGACTGATCCATGCTATAGAATGTCAGATCATGCGCTGAGGACCAGAGAAGGTGGACTTACCCGCCAGAGTTGACACCGACGGCGCGCTCGCTGACAATGGCGAGCTCGGTCAGCTCCGTCTTGTCAATCGTCTCTTCGCCGTTGGCGCGCATGACAGCCAAGGCCGAGACGCTGGTAAAAGCAGCGCTGGAGCTGAGACCACCACCAATGGGGACGGAACCATCCATCAGGACCTTCATGCCCTGCGGCCTGAAGCCAGGGCCGCGCTTGCGGCGCAGGAGCTCGAGAGCGCCGCGGAGACCGCTCCTGAAGTAGTTGGACCACTCGTGGACCTTGGCGTCGATGGTCACATCACCGTTGACGTCGACTTCGAAGGTGCGGGCGGGGAACTTGTCGCCTTGGAGGTTTGCGACTTGGAGCTTGAAGGTGGACGAGTCGGAGGGAGTTTCGTCGACGGAGACGGCGAGGATGGCGTCGGCGGTGATGGCCATAGGCAGGACGGAGTAGAGGGAGTAGTCGATGTGCTCGCCGATGATGTTCACGCGACCCGGAGAGCGGGCGACGAAGGTGGCGGGGTGGCCGTATTGCACTTTGAACTGGTCAAGCAGCGCGTTCCAGCGCTTCGTCTGGACGGGGAGGGCATCTTCGGTGTAGACGTCGGCAAGGGACGACGCGGTGGGGACGGGGCCGGCCATGGTGGGCGATGTCTGCGCTCTCTTCTTGGGTATTGCGTGTTTCGGGGAACCGTCGATAGGTACTGGCTCACGAAGGAGATGCAAAAAGACTCAAGAAAGGGGAAGGAGAAAAGAGGACAGAAGAGGTGTGTATCGTGGGCGAAGTGTGGTTCAGTTATGACGTTTGGGGTTCGGTCCTTTTGGGAGCTGGGAGGCAGGTGGTGGGGTGGGACTCGTCCAGGTTCAGGTCGTCCGCCGTAATAACCCCGCGATGGAGCTTTGGTGTTTTTCTGGCGCGTGCCCGTGGTTGCTGCGGGTGTTGAGCTGCCTCTGCTCTGGACGTGGTGGGACACTGGAGCGCTGGAGAATGGAGTGCTGGAGCTGGAGCAAGTTACCCCGCAATCGCCCCTCGTTGGCGATTTCGTCTGAAGAAAACGCGAGGAGCTAGCTGTCTGAAGTGTCTCAGTTGGCTGGATCAATGCGCCAAGTCACAAGATGCAATTGAGTTTGGAGGAGCACATCAAGGATTCTTCGAGGGCATTTTTAACAGCGATTATGAAAATCCCACAAAGGCGTCGCGCAACAAATTGATAAATTAGGTGAAGAATCAGGTCAAGCGCAAACAGATGCGGTACCTCGGGAGCGCATAGCAACTAGCGCATCTCGTTACTCGGTGCATTTGGACCCCACCTCGGCCGATGATTCCACCGTGTTGAAAGCCAACCATTACCTGTTCTTCTCTCTTTCCCGTTCTTTCTCGCCCGTTGTTCAAGCGCCGTTGTTCGTGTCGCGTGGCCGAAACAGACCACCATACCTATCACATCTCGAGAGACAATAAATGCGCTGACTTCGTCTGGGCAAACTCACTCGCTCGCCACCTCCCGGGCGCAACAGCAAGTACTGAGATGTTCCACTGCGGGCCAGTTCGGAAAACTGGCGGAGAACTCAGTGACCCCGGCCCTCAGCGTCGTCACCTCGGATTGAAGCCAGAAAGGTGTCTATCGACTGCCTGCGAATCCAGTAAACCACGGATGCGTCGAAAAGAATTTGCGATATTTAGTTGTTTGCGCTAGCCACTGTCCCAAGCCGACACATCACATGTTCTGGAACGCCAACAGAAGAAGAGCAGGGGAGTCGCCAAGGCGCACCAGTGGGGTGACTGCAAGCCATCACGTCTGGCGCGCCGGGTTCCAGGGTCTTCCCAACCTGCCGCGGGGATCTCGGGGGCGACACCAAAAATGGCGGGGCAGCTGTGGCCATCTGGGCTGCGAGGAACCACACTCATGTTCAACAGACCATGCTCGGCTCTCGATATCACGGCGATATATCGATGAACGATATGAATGACCAGCATGGATTATGATGAATGCAGACTTCTGGTACTCAGTGATTACCACTAGACACTGTGTATGATCAGTGGTTTAGCCCCTTATGGATTCACCTTGCTCGCGGGAGACCCTCCTGCGTCTAGCAAAAAGACATCCGTGAAATAACTATCAAAAGCAGGCCAACGGAATGATCTTAGTAGAACCCAGATTTATACTGAAGACATCCAGTGTGCTATCATAAATTCTAAACTCAAAGAGAAAAAGAAGAAAAAGAGAAGGAAAAAAAAAAAGGAACCACCCTTTTAACTCAAGGCCCTCACGTATGATTCGAACGAGCGCCCCCCTCAGACTCAGATTGCATCTTTAGAGAGGAATTTGTTAAGCCGTGCTTTTACCAACTAGGCCACTTGCGTGATATCCTAGCCGAACTGTTGGAGGAAGACCAGACGAAAGTCAATTAAGTAGCTTCCACTGAGTGGGATGGTTGCCTGGAGCTTTTGGCGGAAGGGTTACCGCGGAAAGAGCATGTGGAATCCCTCCAGTGCTCACCAAGCTGACCGGGTTGCCTACAGGAGACAAATTAGGAGCGGGCACCTCTGGATGGTGTAGTCAACATTCCGTCTTCATGTTCACACCCGGCTAGGTCTTCCCAGGATGGTTATCTCAGCACCGTAAGAAGTTAGCATCTTCAGAGACCCATGCTCAACCACGATTCACTCGCGGCAGACATGGACATTTAAGGGGAAATGACGAGTTTGGCATGGTTCCTTGTAGGTCGATCTGCATATGTTAAGCATTGACGGAAGGTGCTACCCTACGACTTCCTTCCCAAAGCTTTTCAATCTTGAGGTGCAGCTTTGAAGAAACCTCACCTTGTCCTGAGCCCTACCCTCCAGCCTTTCGCCCCGAAAATCTCCTGCCCTGCAACGCAAATTTATCCCCAAACCAAAACTTCCTCTCCGGAAAACTTCGATCGTCCGGCTACTTGTCTCTTCTTCTTCCCTTCCACAATGTGATCTTTCAGCCCACCCCAAGACATTCAATCCCACCTCAATCCTGATCCAATCGCCCTTCCAGCATCTCACCTTTCCGGCACTTCATCTTTTCACTTCTTTTAAATCCTTTTCTTTACATACTTTCGTCATCTTCTTTTCGTCCGACCAGCAAAGATGGGACTCAGAAACAAAGTCCCCGCAGGCCCGTACACCCCCGAAACCCATCCCCAGGTGCGCATGCCTTCCCTCCAAGTCGGCTCGCTCTACATCATGATCTCCGTCCCGCTCCCCGTCTACTTGGGCCGCCAGAAGCACAGCTACCCAACCGCCGTACCCCCTTCGCCTGGATTCCCTCACAGCACATACGAGCTCGACGTCACCAGCGGCGCCTATCCCGAAGAATTCCACTGGGACCTCTATCTCCACACCTCCTCGACCCCTGATGGCGGTAGCGGTATAATCTACCGCCTGCGCAACATTGGCACCCGTCCGCCTACCTACGAGTACGACCGCATTCCGACCTTCCGAGTGCTTACGCATGCTCAGCTCGTCGGCCTTGTCCGCGTCGTCAGCGTGCCCCGAAGCGTCGTCCCGCACTTGACCCGCTACCTCGAGTGGATGACAGAGGACACCGCCAAGATCGCACAGCGCAGCTTCGTCTGGGCGACTATGGCCTACTACCGCACACGCCTTCACCTCGCAAAGGCGATGGGTATCCGAGACCACACGTTCAACCAGTTCGACATCTCGCGCTTCACGTCGGAGCTGCTTTCGTTCGCGTACGGAGAGGTGCCGGGGGTGCTTCTGGGTGCCGAGACTGGTCCCAGGCCGGTTATTGATTCGTGGATGGGAGCCGCTATTGACTTTCTGGAGGACGACGACGCTCTGGCTACGCGCCGGAAGAGGGACGAGCTTATGAGGTTGCAGAAGGAGAGATTCGGTGCTGTTTCGGCGTGTTGGTACCAGTGAAGTTCGGTTTGGATACCATGATGGATCTTCTCGGGCTGAATACCCGTTTGGAGGCAGACGATTGGAGAGACTTGGAGAAACTTTTGGTATGTTCAGGCTTTGTCCTTACGAGCTCTGCCTAGGCTGTGGATGCACTTACTAACGGCATGTGTGTAGGTATTGAGTATCCATATTGGATGAAGCGAGGAAGCCTCTTCGGGATCGAAAGACCAAAAGAGAGATGGGTGTCTGCAAAGCAGCATACATGGAGGAGATGCTGTACTTTATGGGAGGTCGTCTGGTACTATTGCTCCGGACCTGGGCCACTTGGATGCTGGTCATCGTGAAGGCTTCTGGGCAGGAAGTCTCGAGGGTCCGCGGCATCTGCGCAGCGGGACGGCGTTCTCTTTAATCATTAGCAAACAGCGCAATGCAAATAGCATCATGAACACTTGTTCGTTTTCAGTCTGCAAAGTGGTGCGGATCTTCCTAGCTTCCACAGCCTCGAAGAAGAACGCTGTTGGAAGGATCCTTGCTTATCTCGAGGACAGTCGGATTGCTGGCTTCGTGTCGAATCCCTCCTCGAGACCAACGGCTCCGATCGGGGAGACGTTTCAAAGCCTTCTGGTGGATGGAAAGGAGACAATGCAATTCCAGAGATAGCACAAGCTTTCGCGAAACCCATCACCACAGCGGGTACGACTCCTCCAGACCCTCAGCGGAGGTCGAGGTCGATCCCCCTCCACGGCCCGAACCGCAGCAGCAAACAGAAAGCAAACGCTGAACCCAATCGAAGCAGCTTCATAGAGCAAATGCTTTCTTTTTTCCCTGTCACTTGTTCTACTCGGCGGTGAACGGTAAGGCATGCCCAGCTGTCTGCATAGCGCACCTGATCCAACCTGCGCAAGAATGAGCAAGTTTTCCCAACACCCCTCACCACAGCCCACACACACGCCGTCGAGTAGAAAACCACGACCATCCGCCCCTTGGGACGCGCCCAGAAACCCCCATGCGGCTATCCATCATGCAACGAGCAGGTTTGAGTGCAATCGCTTTCGTTTTCATAACAACACCGTCCGTTTTCTACCACAAAAGATGACGCTGACACCGACACCGAGCGTCGTGGCGTCGACGGCCACGACCTATTGGTTTTTCCTTCTCCGACCGGTCTAATCAGCAAAAAGAACACTCAAGTATGCGGGTCACGATGCCGGCGAGGACACGGCTTCCGGTGCTGGTGATGCTCTTGTGCCTCGAGTCCGTGGTGGTCCTCGGCGCCCTGGCGCTCTTCGGCATCGCGTACCCCGACCGCTTCCGCTCGCGGCTGTGGCGGAACGGCGGCGAGGAGGGGTGGTGCTCAAACCCGCGGCTGCGGATATATTTCTACGCAAACTACGAGGAGCCGCCTGAGATACCGTTGATATGGAGTCAGCGGTGAGTTTTCCTGTCTTCGTCATGATGTGTCGTTCCCGCTACACGATGTCAGCTGACCCTCGCGGTTTCCCGCAGCCTCACAACCTCCAACGCCGCGACCGCCGTCCTCTCCCTCGCCGTGCTCTTCGCCCGCATCACGATCGCCGCCCTCCGCTACGACGCCCGCTGGACGAACACCGCCTACGACGCCGTCCTTGCGAGCCTATGGGCATGGAGCGCCGCGGCGCAAGGCGGGGCGGACCTGACGGACCCGGAGCATCTCATGCCGCGGCCGTGGTATCTCACGCGCGGGTGCGAGGAGGCGTGGAGGGGGAACAGGGCGTGGTGTAGGATTGCGAAGTGGGAGTATGGGTGGGCGATAATGGCTGCGTACGTTTTTGTTTCGGCTCCGTGAAGTCGAGACTGAGAGTGCTGACCTGTGGTCAGCATATTCTACATGACGAAGATCGTCGGCACGGCGGGGTGGATGGTGTACGAAAAGGGTAGAAGGGATGCGTCTCGGGAGGGAGGTCTGACGAAGATCTGGAGAGGGGGAGGGTCGTACAAGGACGATGCGGATTGCTGTTCCGGGCACGGTCTGGTTGAGTTAACGTCGTACAGATCGTACCTAGATTTGCCGCGGACGACGGATGGTTGATGTCGCCATCTTCACCATCACGACACACAAAATCACGACATGAACGAATGGGTGCGGCGCCAGGTATTATGGATATAAAGTTGATTGCAATCTCCACTTAGCAACTACCGCGAGGAGTCGAAGAAGTTCCTGCCATCAGAGAAGAGAAACGTAGTCCTTAACCATGCAACACCCATCCTAAACGTCCATTCCCGATCCGCCAAACTGGAAACCCATGACGATCAGAGCAATAGAGTCTTGACGTGGTTTATTTGTGCTGAGCGAGGCCGTGTTAGCAAACCACCATCCTTGCCAAGGTGGGATGATGCAATGAAAACTTACGGGGCAGCCGGCGCAGGTGCAGTCCTTGCCGCAGTGGCAGGTACCGGTGGAAGCGCATCCGCAGCCAGACATGTTGATTGTGTGGTGAAGTCCTTGAAGGTGACTTGAAAGGTTGTGTGTTTGCTTGAAGTTGACCGGAGTCTTTGATTTGCGTGAGTGTGTGAGGTTGATGGATGGAAGAAGCAGAGGGGAGAGACGGCCGTGATCTGGGTGGTTTAAGTAATGCCACTGATTATCTAAGAGACACCGACTTGCTCCTGCTTCTGTTGCTGCTGACTTTGCCATCTAAAAGAGAAGAAGGAGTCGGGCGCCCTCTGTTGCGCACTTGCCCCTTCCCCTCCTGCTTGAGAGAGACGGCTCCTGCCAAACACGCCCGCCACATGTTCTCCAAGGGAAGCGCTAGTCAGCCGCCCAGTGAGCAGCTGGGAATGCTAGCTCCCACGCCGTCGAGGGCTCGAAGGAAGGTCCTGCCTCCTGGGCTTGCCTTTGCCTGTGTCTCTCTTTCCCACACGCAGCAGGTAAGTTAGCTGGTTAGGTAACAGCAGGTCGGTATCAGAAGTCGGGAAGCCCCCGCTCTTGCCCGCTCCCGACCTTTCCCACCAAGCAGACTGTTCGGAAAGAACACTGTGAAAGAAAGACAGTGGCGAATGACGTGCAGCCGCGACTGAGCTAGAGGCTAGGATCCATCGTCACCCGCAGCACGCTGTGCCCATTCATCACAAGGTCCAACCCGACTTCTCCCCTTCAACATCAAACCGCCCCCCTCACACTCCCAACCACCGTGCCACCGAACCACGCGAACCAACTGTCAACTGCCCCGGCGATTCGACATCCCCACTTCCCACCGACGACGATACAGAGCTGATCGGGCCGGACTGTTCAGACCGGGGTGGGTTCTGGCGCTCTTCCTTTGCTGTTCGGCCCCCGCCTCTCCCCCTGCTAGCTGCCATTTTGGGAAAGACTCGGCGTCTCGGCCAATGAGAAGGCGGGGATGAATCTGAGTTCAGCCAGCGCAACGCCTTTCATTCTTTTGAAGAACTGCAAGTGCGGGGGAGGGGTCGGGTCGGGTGCGGTCAGGCAGGAGGGGTTTGCTTCTGCTTTGCTTCTCTCTTTCACAGATACCCGCCAGCTCCTAGACGGAAGATCAGGGGTCCTCCCTTGACCACGACGAACCTTGCGGCTACGAGATCCGATCGCCATTGGGCCATTTTCAGATAAACGTTTCACCAGCCGTCAAAATGACATACATATGGCAGTTGTGCCCCCAACGTAAAACTTGTCGTCACGCGGGGAGGGGAGATACTCTGGCTAAGGCGGCACGAACGAAAAGAAAACAAATCACGGCCTCGAGTTCGGATCATCTCGCACGCTCTCGGGAAGACAGGCCCGATAGCGATTGTTGGGCAGCGCGTCCTCGGACAGCTGGCCCGTGTCTCTCGTACGGTACGGCTGGTGGCTGCTACGACTCTGGTCATGTGCAACGTCTCTGGGATGAACGCCGGCCAGCCTCTTCAGCGCCCCGTACATGATCGGCGGCGGTCTAGATATGCAGTTCGAACCTGTCGAAGGAAAAAAGAGCACCGTTCACGGCGCCGTGCAGCATGCATGTGTGCGTCATCCGACAAGTGGCGCCGATCAAGACGCTCCGGCGGGGCCTCTCAGGGCTTAGAGCTGACTTTGCAGAACTGCTACCCGTGGCTACCACGTAGCATCTCTTTTGGCGTTGAGCGACGTTGTCCACGTGAGAACGACTTTTTACCGAGTGTTTTCCTATCTGGCGCACGGAGAGCAAGTCCACCCGGGTCACGAAGAGTCCGAGGTGCTCGCGATTGGGTGTTTTATTATCCTTATCAGCAGGCGTAGTTGAGGATCGCACTTGATCTGCCGGCGCCGGCTAGATTTAATCGCCTATGCTTGCCTTGTGATGCTACTTGGAGGAGGCGTGGTCACGTTCTCGTCGTAGGCTTTTGGGGCATTCCGGGAGTCGAGAAGCGGTGTGCGTGGTGTAGTCTACGATGTGGTCATTTGGATAACTTCACAGAGTCGGTCATTCGCGATCTACTGTCCTACGCACAACTGACAGTCGAAGGTTGACACTCGCAACCCCGAGGGCACCTTGATACGTATTTGGGGCTATCTTCGAGACGATAGTGTCAGCAGAGACATTCGTCTTGGAAATGTCCCTTCATTGATGTCGTTCGTCATCATTCCGAGGTCCTGCCTCCCCTGAGAGTAATCCGGGGCTACATGACTAGATTCAACGGTAATTGAAAAACCTGTTTGAAGTTAATAGCGAGGGTCCGATTTCCCAAGTTGTTATGAGGACTGAGTATGCCCACGACATTGAAAAGCCGAGGGGGGATATGGTTGGAGCGATATAAGATCCACGGAGCTGGCTTGAGATACCTTAACGATAAAAAAGCGATTCGAAGCTCTTCTTGACGATTCGGACCGCTGCGCAGACACATAGCAGAACGAACCAGTCACTTGGGTGGAATTGAAAGGGAGGGAACAACGTCACGTCACGTCACGATGTTATCAGGGTCGTCGAAATGGTTGAAACCCACGCTGTCGAGCCAAGAAGCCAAGAACCAACATAAGAGCGATCGCACGGCGCGAATCAAGTCAT